AGAATGTTGCAACATTCGTTGCAACATATATTCAGACATTTGTATACAAATATTCATGCATTCATAAAGCATTACTTTGCATAAAATTTCATTTCCTTTTTATCTGAACGACTGAGAGACAAGACAGGTGTCTTTACTCAAAACTTTCTAATATACTGATAAAATCAATAACTAGATAAAAATATGCCCTACCTAAATGTACACGTCGCGGACCTAAGTCTATCAAAGTAATCCTGGTTTCATGACAAGCGTATATAATTGTAAAACTAAGGGTCTATTCCTCTTAACTGAACTAGTGCGGCCAGTTCAGCTGTAAACAGATCTTAGATCTGTACAAATTATACAAAGTCAGTAGAACCGATTGCTCCGTTACGATTACAGTGACATGGCCATTTAACATAGCAATTTAAGTAGCCATCCGTTTGCCATACGCAAAGTAAACGTTACAGCTCGCTGCGACAGGTGAGCGCTTGGAAATCACCGAATCCCAACGTAAACCCTCCTCTACGAACGACTAAACGAGCCAAGCGAACGCGTGGCGCGCGGAGCTTGAGATTACCGGTGTTGATGTGCTGCACGTTATTGACGGGGGACGGCGGATCGTTCGGCGGCGGCGGCGGTAGCGGCTTGACGACGATCCTGGGCAACGTGCGGGAATTGCCGGACGCTATGGTCGTGTTCTTCCTGCGCCGCTTGGCCTGCTGGCGTAACGCGTGCTTAATGACCTTCTTGCTGTGCACCATGCTGGAGTAGCCGGAGCAGCCCGGGATAGTCTCGCAGCCCTCGCCCTTGCCGAGCTCCACGTCCGTGTCCATGGCAGCGCCTATGGCTTTGACATCGTCGACGAGCGGAATGTCGGGGCACGCGGCGTAGGCCTGCCGCGGCATCGCGTCAGAACGTCCACTAACGCTTCCGTACGTTGCATTCCATCCCCCTGCGATATTTAGAGCTCACGAATGCGTCCTCCTACCTCACCGAGATATAAACATAACATGTCTCTCCGCCGTTCTCGCTCCCTCCTTCTCTCTGTCACTGTCTCTCCCGTTCTCTTTCTTACCAGTGGCGACCGAGTGACATTCTTATCGGAGCACACGAAATACGGTGTGAAAGATCACGGCGGCGGCGTTTACGTCATTGCGTTCCGGGGATTCGTGAGTCCACGGGATCACATCGAGCGGCGAAACGTAACAATTCTCTCAGTCGCATAACGGAATGCCATCCGGGAAAGTGGAGAAGCTTCCGCTTCTTTCGGCCATACTGTATTTACATATTTATGCCGCGGAAACGTCGTCGAGGTAGACGCACGACTCGTTTTGCATCAACGTTACGTATATTGCGTATTCAAGTGATGCATACCACGAATACGTTTACGTATACGGTGTGTGTGTGTGTTCTCTCGATAAAGCGGATCATGAAATACGAAGATCATTGATAGGAACGCGAGGTTAAGGCACGAATTAAAAAGATAACAGAACAGTTTCCTCCTAGGATGGAAATGAAGGGCTCTGATTGGTTATTCTCTAAATCATGG